CTCACGCAGTGTATTCCCGTTTGCAAAAAACCTCCTTCAAAATAAAATTTCAAGGAAAATGTACCTACCTATTTTAGATATACCGGAGGCGAATTTACGATGATACAGAAGGATGGTAATACAAGGATGTTAGGAAAAGAAACGAGAGACATGGGATATAGTTTACATAATAATTCGGCGCTTTTTATATAACGCTTCTTCGAGGTCGTTTATTATTATTATTTTTTTGTAAACGGTTAATTACTCTGATATTTTAACATAAACTTTATCCAAAACCGTTTTCTTGCTTCGTGATGTTTCGAACATTATATATTGACCCTGAAGTGAAAAAAACCGGCTGCCACAACATTTCTCTACAAATTTGACTTATGCAAATTTGTGACATTTTTCCACTGGTGGTCACGAAACTTTTCATTTTGTTAAAGCGAACCCGGAGTACCCCGATTTTAAATTACATATTCTGTTAATGTAAGAGCTGAACTTTGTCCTAGTATACATTTTGGCTAAGTATAACACATACCAAGGTGAGTTTTTTGCCCCTGAAGTCGCTCATTTTTTAGCCATTTTAAAAAGTGCCATTGATGGTAGTTTTTAAAAAACCATAAAAAATTCAAAATCAAGTTTATGGTTTAAAACATACTATGAATAGAAAGAAAACATAGAATTCTTTTAAACAAATATATTTCTCTTTTATAGCTTTGAATGTTGCCTCGGTACAGACGCGACAAAGTAGGTCATTTTTACTCTAATTTTTGCATAATTAATTAGGTAAAAACCGCTATTTTCGTTTTTGCCCATTTTCTCGAAAACTATAGATTCTTGAAAGTTGAAAATATTTTTTTCGAAGACAGTTCCCCAAAGGGGTTTTTCTGACAAGTTATCAGAATTTTCGATTTTTTCAGCCTGGCCAGCAATTCTCGAGATTTACAGTCATGGGCTCTTAAGAACCTGTCACGCGAAATTGTGCTAGGTAGGCCTCTTCTATACAACAAACTGTTTATCCTAAATCAGGTTCTAATTTTTTTTACGCTATGAAAAGAAAACCTATATACTTGGGTAAGTAAGATAAGTCAACATTCAGGACCCTATTTGGAGACATAGATCTCCTATTACTCCAACTGCAATGAAATGGTGTGGAGACATTAAAATTGGGAATAAGCAGAAAAATACTCTAAGCTACGGAATTGGTTCTTATTTTCTTAAAAGAACCTAAATACCTTAAATTTGCGCTAATTACCATTTCTGTCAGAGCCTGTTTATGCTAATTCGGAAAATGCAGTTTCTTCCTCGAGGGTTTTTACTGTACCTGAAGCCTGAAAAGGTACAAATGTACTACTGTTGGGCCGAGCGTCACCATATACACTATTTTTGCGAATACCCTCAGGACATTTCACTGTTTAAAAGTAGCTTATTTTTGGAAAGTACTGATTGAAAAATAAAGTTAACGGTAACAAATGTAGTTAAGATGTGCAAATGCCAAGGTTCTATGTTATGTGATGTATGTTATTGATTTTGTGTAGCTCTCACTGGTCATCAAGAAATGCAAAAAACAAGCAGAACTAAAGGTATTGTAAGCCATGTTCCGTTCAAGGGAATTTTACGTCCAATCCTTCAACAGTCATTATTGAGTTTCTTAAATGGCCAGAGCAACTGTGGGGTGGAATTCGGCCTTGCTCTTTAACAAGAGTTAAAAGCGGTATGGATAATTTGTGATTTAGTTACTTTTAAGCCTACCTGAAGAAAATTGTCGCTCTTTTTACAGAAGCAGCGCAGTATTTCCCGGCATGTAGTACTTCCAGGAACACCCCGGAACATCCCAGAACACCCCTCCAAAAAAACAGAAACACCCCCCAAACTACCAAGAAAAGCGCAAAATCTAGAAAATTAACAGATAAAATAAAAATAAAAATAAAAAAATGAAAGAGGACGCGAAGTAATATGAAAATAAGAACCATGAATAGGAACAATTCAAAAAAGCCAAGACACGAGGCTTTCAATTACAATATAATTACTCTACCTTTTGTTGGTTTCTTTAATGAAACAACTCTTTCTTGGCAACTTAAACATCTTTTCAGTGCAACTTAACGTCAAGCACTATCGTAGAAAGAGGAATCCACTTTAAAATCATGGGTTGATTCCAAGATGATTATACAAAAAAGTTTCTGTGTTTAAATGGAAACAATGTCAAGCAAATTAATTACAGCGTACAAGCATTACACGGAAAGATTTGCTAGTTATATTTTTTTATGTTGGGATTCATTTTTATCTTTAGTTAACTTTTACTTTTCATTTTTAACTTATTACCATGCAAAACAGATCTAAAACAAAGAATAATAAAGCGGAAGCAGATATAAAATTGAACTTCAACAGCTATATAAACCGGTCAAACAAGGCACAGAAACATAAAACAATGACATGAATTAAATCTAACAACCCAGATACGCTGACTGTCTCATGTTTATCATCTTCATCAACGTGCATCCATAATTGATTCCTCTTGTAATTCATTTTCGGTCTCTTCCACAGGTAATGCCGTTAGGCTAACGTTAGATCGGAGGACTATATACTTATTGTCATGCACAAAGAAAGGCATAAATCTTTCATTGACTGTCCAAACAGACGTGCCAAAACATCCTGGTAGAAAGGGTGGTGTCCCTTCCACAGCTAGAAGATCAAGTCCCAAGCTAGCAATAAATGTAGTCCATCAGCTGAGACCCGAAAATTTAGGTCTATGGCTCACTTGAGGGGAGCAGAAGAAACATGTCTAATCTTATTCTATAATAAGCGTCGTAGAAATGCGTGATAGCAAGCATAGAACGGTAGCTTTCACTTTCATAATCCAAATTTAAACCTGCCCCTTGAACTCTCATGCCATCTTGTATTTTTGGGGCAGGCTACAAATCGATCTTACTCTTTTATCGTGAATGAATTGCGATTTAAATGCGAATTTAAACCGTGTTGCAACTAAAAACCTGATTTTCGTTTATTTTTGTGCTTAAATTGTATCTTCAAAAATATTTGCCTCATTTTTTGGAAAGGACAAGATAATTTATCGGACGGTTACTGTTCTTAATTTTCGCTAAATCGATCCTCGCAGTGTTTGTTTGTTTTTTCTTTAAGTTTGAGGTCAAAGTTTCTTGTATAAGGAAGTTACCCAGCTCTAGGGGAATCAAATTAAATTGCCGGCAACAAAGTTGTCATTTGTATAGAGCTGAAAGCGCAAAAATTAAAGTTCACGTAGCAACGTAGTTTTGATTGGAGCACAGCTGATGGCACAAAAAGTTGAGTTTGCCCAGCAACGCAGTTGTGATTGGTGCAGAGCTGATGAGCAACAACACTGCCTTTACTATACCTGCCAACTCTCACGCCTGCGGGTTGAAAACTTCGATCTCACGCAGGCTCACGCCTGCGGGCCAATTTCTCACGCCTGAATGAAAAATGTGAGTTGTTGCCGTCTTGCTTGACACAATTTTCAAAAATATGTTAACTCAGACCCATGTAAGGAACGAAAACCATGTGTAAAATGAATAAATGACAATACCTTCCTCGCGATCTCTGATTTTGTGGATAAGCGTTTTCTCGATAACTTCGCCTTCGGCAGACTTCGGAAGACTTCGGACTTCTTCGGGAATCTTCGGAAATGATCGTGTCGTCTGCAAAAATCCCAGCACTCCCAGGATAAAAATCTCACGCTTATAACTCAGAAAAAGTTGGCAGGTATACTTTACTGACATATGAAAGCGGTTGGTTTTACAGAAATCTTTTTTTCCCGGCAATATAGGTTTTATTAACCCTAGAAAATATGTGAATTTATCCAGCAACACTGTTTTTTAGAGCCCACGGTAGTTCACTTTAGGTCATTTCTTATTCCGGCTTAGTTTATTTTCAGTAATGTTCGATTTTTTTTTTTTTGGTCATTCCTTCTTTTAAAAAAAAAATCCCGTCAACACCTTAAACCTTAATACTGTACTTCCATGCCAAATTTCCAGACAAAAGATTGTCATTTCTTGACATTTCACCTTATAAGAATCGCAAAATCGCCCATTGTACTTCCTTTATTCCTGCCATTTTTTGTTAGTTATTTTCACGTTAAAGCACGAGCGACCTTTACCATTTTATTCATTTCAGTAATTAATTATTTCTCAAAAGCATGACAAGACGTTTGTAAAAATAAAGAGTGTAAGGGTCTTTGATTATGTTTTTTGCAAAAAATGGAGACCCTAGTTACAATACAAAGTAAGAAAAACAAAATAAGGGTGTTTTTGTTTCTGCGGTCCTTGTTTTCGCAACAACCAGCTTTGACAGCTTTTGCCCCTGCGTGGCATTTCTTTTGCACTGTAGTAAATAGCGGATGAATGTACTATATGCAGTTGTTCGGATACAGCGTTATCCCAGTGTAGAGATATTTCTTCGTGGACCGTTATATCGTGCTGTCGTGATCCGAAATCACAAACCAGTTTTGGAAGCTTCAACTAAAAGCGAACTACCAGCTAATCCCATAAAATACCATCGCAATTGCCGAGCTGAGTTCACCAACAAGAGAGATTTACAGGTCGCTAACGAACCATCTGATGATGCAGCAACTGGAAGTGCACCCATGAGAAGCTCCAGAGAAAGAAATGAGGTAAGCTCAACGATTCCGCCGGATCAATGTTTGTTCTGTAAAAAGTCAAAGTGCAAGCCAAATACCAAAACCCGAGAGAAGCTACACAGTGTTCAGGAACTGCGCGCCAATGAGACGGTGAGAACATGTGCTTAATTCACTTCATGTGCAACAAAACACTGCTATGACCGAGGTAGCTCGGAATGTGATTGGAACATGCGCAGAAGACCTCATTTCAAGTGAAGCAAAGTACTACGCTTCCTGCTACAAAAGCTTTGTAAGAATAAATTATTCCAGCACGCAATGAAGGTCAAACTCTGACTGAAACAGATAACCCATTAGAACCTGTGTATGACGCTATGAACTGTTTGTGCGAAGATTTGATAGCGAACCCGAAATGGTCGAATATAAAGTTGTCAAAGAACTGTTTCTGAACAAAGTTAGAGAGCTAGGAGTAACTGTATCAGAATCAGACAAAAAGAACCTCATGCGAAAGGTTTCAAACATGTTTCCAGAAATCAATTTTGTCACTCACCAGTATAACAAGATGTTTATGTATCCCAACACATTAGCAATAGGCAAAACCGTACTGGATTTCCTTGAGCTAAAAACGAAGCTAGAGTCGCTGAAAGGTCCCAGGAGCGATGACGAGAAGAATGTGATACAAATTGCTGGATTGATAAACGATGAAATAAAAGATCTTAACCCACTGATGTCCTGGCCGCCTGAAGAGGACGATTTAAAACCAAGCATAACCACTGACTACATTCCACATCTTCTCGACGTCCTTTTGACAGTGCTTATTACTGGGAAACCACTTGACAGCGAAAGCAGCAGGACAGAAAGAACAATAAGGCCGAAAGAATCATTCCCTCAAGATATAGTTTTTTCTGTTACAAATGGGGTTGTAAAAACTCCAAAAAGCGTGTTATCTCCTTCTGTTGTAAAGGCTCTTTGTAATAACAGAGATTGTAAAGCTAATCAATAAGTACGGTCATGGTGTCACTTATGACCTAGTAGAAGAGATTGAGAAGGAGTATGCGTTAAAAGTTGTTAACGAGCAACTAGAAAACCGAGTCGTCATTCCGCCCATTGTAATGCAGGAGCAAACCAGATCCACTGTTGCCCTGATGGTGGCTGATAATATTGACAACTTGGAGGGTACACTGAGTGGGTCTGGAACATCCCATCGCGTGAACTCTATCCTCATCACGGAGCAAAAGGAGAGAGAAAGTGGACACGGGTCAGATGACCAAGAGTACGCACCACCAGTAGTGAAGAAATGCAGGAGATCCCTACCAGCAACTATGGTCACTAGGGCTATCCCCAAGTACTACGGCCGAAAAAGGGAGGGGCCAGGAGAACTGCAGCTTGTTCAAAACCTCGGAGTAAGTTCTTGTTACCGTGACAAAGCAAAAGAAATGGCTCCACACTACCTTACGTGGATTGAGATGAGAAAGCTTGAAACGCACCCATTATTAATAATACCTGGGTGGACCGGCTTTAACATTAAAGTTTGTGATCGTGTGGTGGTTGTGGAGAGCACAATTGGTTATTTGGACACTACAGACTCCCCTGCCACTGACCTGAAGACCGCGTGCGAGGTGTTGTCTGGAGGATGTGAGATAAAAAATCGGCTTCAGTTGAGTGCTGTTGTGTGTGTTCTTGATCAGGCTTTTTACGCCAAGGCTATGGAGGTTTACTGGGAACACAAGGAGCTATTCGATGGCATAGTCATAATGATGGGAGGTTTCCATTTGTTATTAATGCTCTTGGGAGTTATTGGAAGCCGATTCGGGGATGCGGGGCTTAGAGAACTAGCTGTCCAGAGTGATGTCGTGGCAGACGGATCAGTGGATAAGTCTCTAAATGGAAAACAGTACAATCGGGCTGTGCATCTTCATAAATGTATTTATGAAGCCCTCATGAGATTGCTCTTGAAAGAGTTTGAATCTTCAGTCCAGTCATTACTGACCTTGAACTTGGAACAACTGAAATTAGAACTGAACCAAGAAGAATTTGAGCGAGTGTTGAGCAGCCATGGGTTCCAGTAATTCGGGGAACAGTTCCATGTATACGTGCAGGGAATGAAGGAGAAGGGGTCAACTGTAGGCAGGTTCTGGCTCTCTTACTTGGAGCTCTGCGAGCTGATGCTTAACCTTATCTTTGCGCCGTGCACCGGTGACAGGCAGTTGTATCTTTCTTGCATAGAGGAACTGATACCCTGGGCATTAGCGTATGACTGCCAGAACTGCGCACGTTATCTCATCCCATTTCTAAACAGCATGCATCACTTGTCTCTCAGAACACCGGAAGTGTACACAGCCTTCAACAGAGGCCAGTTTTCCGTTCAAATGGGGGCCTGTAATCCTTTTGGACGAAACGAGGCTGACAATTAATTAATTGCGACTGCAAGACGGGAGGAGGCTACATCGAGTTTAGTGCTAATTTTGCTGCATTTCAGAGATGGGTGCTCAATTACACAAGGCGTGCTATGCACAGAAAACTTCTTCGTGGGCATTTGTCGATTAATTCTTCCAAGACCTACATCCACAAGGATGTTCGCTCCAGCACGAATTAAAGAAGACATCAAAGCGGTAGAGAAGTTGGTAGATTTGCTTGAGGATGTGCTCACCAATCCATGGAAACGACGCAGTGTTCATGAGTTTGTCCACTGGTAGATATTGATGATGATTTACAACAGGTCAA